CGCCACGCACGCGCCCTGCCTGGGCCCGCGGGCTCAGGTGCCCCTCGCGGTCCTGCGCATGCTCTGGACCTGCGGGTCACACTGGGCGAGTCTGGTCGCTCCCTGGTGTGGCCGCACTACGAGCCCGAGGGACCAAGGCGAGTGGCCGCCACAGGGCCGGCCTGTAACAGGGTGCGGAGGGTTCCAGCAGTCGGGGGTCTGGGCGTGAGCTCTGGCAGCCTTGTGCCCCTCGCCTGTAAAATGGAGATGCTTCGCCGGACCGTCAGGGCTCACACTCTGCTGGCCCTGGGTAAAGGGGCACAGGCAGCGGCCTGTACTGCAGCGCCCCGGCCTGTGAGGGGCGATGGGCTCTTCGCTGTGGTCAGGAGACCGGGTCTCTGTCCTCACTCATCCTGGACGAGCCCCTTCCCCTCCGGGTCTGTTTTCTCATCTGTGAAATGAGATGCCCTCCGAGGACCTTCAAATTATATGCCAGAAACCCAGCCGGGCACACTTGTTTTTCCAGGGAGCAGTCACATGAGTCCTTGTTTTCTTAGACACACAGCCTCGGAGACCTTGAGGCATTCCCCTGGCTGGAAAAGGCACTGGGGCCTGGACAAGCAGGTGTGAAACCACCTGTCCTCAGGGTTACGTCACCAACATGTCCTGGCAACGCCAGCATGTGAGTGCCTGAGGTGTGGATCTCGGAGAAAAACAGGTCCGTGGGGTGCCTTCCTGAGCTAGAAGAACAAGAGGTTGTTCCAAGTGACAACAGTGAACTCGGTGATCAGCAGAACCAGGAGGGGTTTGCAGGGAGGGGGGAGGGGGGAGGTAGAGGGGGCGGTTAACCAGGCCCTGATTCCCTGGGATTGAAAGGTGACTTCAGTTACTAGTCCAGGCCTAGTTTCCTCAGTAACTGAAATAGTTCTCAGCCTGCTCTCCAGGACCCACACTGCCCCACAGTTGAGCCTATTACAATGTCCTCCTTACCAGCCTGAACTGATGACTCAGGGAAGCTCAGGTGTGAGCTGGAGAGAAGAGCACACAGTGGGAACAGGCATCTCCCTCCTGGTTCTCAGCTCTGTGACCCTCAGACTAGGACACATTGGCTTGGTGGCCTCCCTAAATCCGCTGGAGTGAAGGGGAACACAGTTCAGTGTTGTTGGGTGCTTACTGGGTGCAGGGCCTGGGCTAGGGTAGGGGATGGAGACCTGGGTGAGACATGGAAGCTTATATTATTTTTTTATATTTAAAAATGTTAAAAATGTTTTTATTGATTTTAGAGAGAGAGGAAGGGAGAAGAGAGAAAGATCGATGTGAGAGAGAAACATCTATTGGTTGCCCCTGCACCCCCAACTGGGTATCAAACTCACAACCTGGGCATGTGCCCTGACTGGGAATCAAACTGTCAACCTTTCAGTGAATGGGATGACTCTCAACCAATTGAGCCACACCAGCCAGGGCTATGTTATGGTTTAATTGGGGAGTGTAGTGAGAGAAGAGAGAGAGAAACCCAGAAGAAACACGTTTAAAACTATATGACAGGCCAGGCCAGGCATGGCTCAGCGGTTGAGCATCGACCTAGGATCCAGGAGATTGAAGTTCGATTCCCGGTGAGGGCACATGCCCGGGTTGCAGGCTTGATCCCCAGTCGGAGGCGTGCAGGAGGCAGCTGATCAATGACTCTCTCATCATTGATGTTTCTACCTCTCTCTCACCCTCTCCTTTCCTCTCTCTGAAATAAAAAAAGATATATTCAAACAAACAACAACTATATGACAAGATTGCCTTAAAAAATATAAAATGCCACAAGCAGGAAGGGAAGGGCCCTCAATTCCTGAGCACCTACTGTGTGCTAGGTCCTTTCCCATGTTTTCTCAGGTCACCCTCATGGACCCTGGGAGTGGAACTAAGAGTAATAGTAGCTGCCCTCTGTGGAGCATGTACAATGTGCCAGACCTTCTAGGTGCTTTAATCCTTATAGCACACTGAGCATATATCTCCATCTTATGATGAGAAAACAGGATCAACAAGGTCAAATAACAAATCTGAGGCCCAGTGCATATGTGGTGGTGGTGAGGAGGCTGGAACCCAGGTCCAGCGAGGAGGGACAGATTCCTGAAGACATTCCGGGGAGTTGGAGTTGCTGGGGCATGGTTAGGACATCAGGGAAGCCCTGGGCAATCAAAGCACAGCAGGTGAGCTGGGACGGTGGGTGGCACCCCATGGTGGGGTGAGTACCAGGGTGAGGGGTATGTGGTGGGTTTGGCAGGCAGTGAGGATGTTTTGGAGGTTGTGAGCTGGAGAGTGAGGAGGTCAGAGCTGTGTTCTGCCAGGCAGATGGTTAATCTGGTGGAAGTTGCTGGAGGACGGGAGAAGAGCTAATCAGAGAAGCTGTCCTGTAAGGCTCTGGGGAGGGATAACTGGTCTCCCATGAACTGGAGTGGTAGTGTGGAATTAGACAAGACTGTGGGGCCCATTCTGAAGTGAGGGGCCAGCTCACAGGCCTTTAGAGACAAAAGGCCTTAGACTCAGCAATCAACTGGGCTAGTCCACTGTTTTTGCAAGCGTTAAGGACCCTGAGGCCCACAGAAGGGATTGCCCAACATCACCCTAGAGAGAACCAGCAGAAGTAGGATTGCAGCCCAGCCCTTTGTGACAGGCCAGTGCTTGGGAAGGTCTTGGGGGCAGCCCAGGGAGCCCCGGGCAGCTCCAGGGGAAAGATGTCAGAGATGAAACCCTGCTTCCTAGAACCTGTCCCCCCACGAGTAGTGGGGTGGGATCTGCTTTGGCAGAGGGAGAGAAGGGCGAGCAGGACTGGTCTGTGGACATCTGATGGGAAACTAAGAGTTGCCATGGGATCTGGAGGGGCAGGAGGTGTATCGTTGGGCCTTTACATTCTTAGAGGCCCTTTGGAGATGGGGGAAGAGAACTAGAGACCCAGGGCTGGTGCTGGGCTATCCACTGGTGCTGCCCCTGACTTGTCCACTCATTCGTTATTTCAATGAATATTTGTTGAGTGTCTACTCTGTGCCACACAATGTTTCTTACACTAGTGAACAAAACAGCAGAGATCCCGGCCCAGCCAGCCAGGTTAATTACATGGTGCGTGCAACAGGAAGTGATGAGTGTGATGGAGAAAAGAAGAGGTAGAGCCAGCAAGAGGGGCCAGGAATGCTGGGCGGGCAGGGCAGGTGGGCTCATTTCGTGGGTGCCCTCAGAGCCCAAGCTAGAGGAGGCCAACAGGAAGAGGGAGGAGCCAGTGCGAAGGCCTGGAGGCAGCAGCCCTTGTGACGCAGATAAGGAGGCCAGGGTGGGGAGCAAAGTGGGCAAGGGGGTGGCCAGAGATGATACCAGAGAAGAGGGGGAGGTGCTGTGGGGGCTCCTAGAGCTTGGGGAAAGAACTCTGGTTCCGGCTCTGAGCAGGACGGGGCCACTGCAGGGGGTGGAGCAGAAGGGACATGGTCTGACTGAGATGTTAACTGCATCACTCCAGCTGCTGAGTGGAGAACATGCTGGAAGGGGGCGAGGGTGGAGGCAGGGGGGCTATTCGGGCAGGAGTCCAGGTGGACCAGAGGGTGGCTTTGGGAGGAGCCACAGCAGTGGAGGCGGCTCGGGTTGTGGGGGAGGATTCAGCTCTGTTTTGAAGGTAATATTAATGCAGTAGGAGGGAAAAGGGGAACTCAGGACAGATTTTTATGGGCAGTGGTTCCTGAGCACCCCATCTCTGTGCCCTCGAAAGAAGAGCCCTCTCCTCTTTGTCCCCTCTTGTCCCTCATCCTCCAGGGAGAGGGATTCAGGTCCCTGCCCTGTCAGCTTGGGCTGTAGTTGTCCAAAGAGAAAGGGCAGTCAAAGCCTCATCACTCCAAAGCAGAGGTACGGCACCCTTCACACACAAAATCCCCGGCTCTGCCCTGGGAGAGAGGCTCAGGAAGAGGCCATAGGAGGCGGTTGATGACTCAGTGGGGAGCAGTAAACAACTCTGGGAGAAGGCCTGGCTCCAGGCCGGTGACTCACTCCTGGGGTGGTTCCCACCCTGTCAGCTGGGTGGTTTCCCCGGGCTGGGGAAGAGCCGGGGCCGTGCCTGCCCCCTGGTGGCCATGCTTCACCTCCCAGCCTCAGCCTCTGCCATCTGGCAGGGCTGTGGGGACTA